TTTGTATCGAGGAAGAATAAACTGGATTAATCAAGAACGAACTTGTATCACTGAAGTTTTTCAGAAAGGATTTATACCGGAAATTAACAAACAAGCAGGTATGTAACAAACTGGTGTCAGAGAGTGGGACGGAAAGAAAAAAGAAGATGGAAACGAGAAGTGGCAAATCAAACTACAGCTTACCAGATTTGATGGCAGCAATACAAGAACAGCAAAAGAAACAAGAAGAGAGATTACAGCAGTTGTTGGAGGAAAAGTAAATAAACAAGAAGAGAGACTACAGCAGTGGTTGGCGGAGAAAGAAAAGAAACAAGAAGAACGAGAAAATAAACAAGAAGAGAGACTACAGTATTGGTTGGAGGAGAAAGAAAAGAAACAGGAAGAACAAGAAAATAAACAAGAAGAGAGACTACAGCAGTGGTTGGAGGAGAAAGAAAAGAAACAAGATGAGAGGCAACAGCAGTGGTTGGGGGAGAAAGAAAATAAACAAGAAGAGAGTCTACAGTAGTGGCAACTGGAACAAGAAAGAAAACAGGAAAAATGTCAACAGCAACTACATGAAAGTCAGCAACAGTGACAAGAAGTACAATGGTAAATATTAGTAAATTTCAGAGTGAATTAAATACATTAAAGTACGATTTACTGTCCATTACACAGGGAGGATATATTAGCCATGGACCTAACCAGTCTCAGACAACAGGAAGCCCATTCCAGACCCTGCAGCTAAACTTTAATGTAGACATCTTCAGCCCTGCCAGAAGTCACATTCCAGACATGAATGCCAGCAATAGGGGTGATCTAGTACGAAGGAAGCCACAGGAATTCGATGGGAAGGCACCATAAGAAGCATATAGAGCACAATTTGAGCTCCTGACAGAAATAAATGGATGGACAGAGGAGCAGAAAGCAGTGTACTTGGTAACGAGCATGAAAAGACAACCAATGGAAATACTTGGACAGTTGTCAGCAGACGACAGGCACAAATATAGAGCACTGGTAGCTGCTCTAGTACTCAGATATGGAACTCAAAATCAGTCCAAAGTCTATAGGGCTAGGTTTAGGACTAGAATCCGTGCTAAAGG